CCCAACATCTAATACTGTTACTGTTATCTAGTTATATTTTTGTTTATGAGCGAAACCTTGCAAATATATTATCTTAAGCCTTCTGTCCCCATGATAGAAGCCCACAGACGATGCAAATAGATGCAAAAACTCCCAGTGTGCTCGGTGAGAGGACCTCTGGTCTGAAGTTGATTGACATGGGCTGTAGTATCGACATGAACCTCTTCCCACCTGGAACTGTCTTCAGATCAAGAAATGGAACTTCCTGCTTTGAATGTATTGAAATGGTTACAGGCCAGCCTTGGACTTACCAGGTACAATAATTTTGAGCTTACATTTGTCTTTCTGTGCCCTTAGAAAATGTAAACGTTCCTACCTCTCCATTATTTATTGGCTAATATGCAACAATCCCACAGTCTCATATCATGGTCACAAGAAACTAATGAATGAGATAATGATAATCTTACATATAAGGCCTAAAAACCCTAAGCCTATTCAACCCAAAAACTAAAAAAATGTATTGTTGGCTTCTTTTTTAACATTGTGGATTGGAAATGAACCATGAAATTAGGCCTATAGTGAAAAAAAAATCCCACAGATCGACCCTGATACCTAAATTAGGACACTCAGTATCTTTTTTTTTACCTAATATTGATTTCTTTAAATTTTCACAAGTTGTTTAATTTCCCTCTTCAGACTGACTTGTATGGCATAGCAGGGACCATACATACACTTTTATTTGGGAGTTATATGAAAGTATTTCAAGAATCTGGTGAGTGGAAAATAACAGGCAGTATAAAACGGTAAGTTAATTATAGGATCATTTTGAGAATACTGTAGATTTTTTTAGTTTGTAAAATGTAATTCATATTACTGGGTAATGTAGAAAATGTTATTTTCATTTCTTTAAACAAAATATGTATTAATGATTGATGCAGTTGCCAAATGAACTTAACAAGTTTTCACTTTCAAGGTTTCATGAGATTTTCTTTATATCATCCACTAATATCCAGTGGTGTGATACTCATGAGATCTCAATAGCTAAAATCACAGCCCCAGGATATTAATCTGCATTTCTTTGCCAGGACCATGGGCCCCAAATTGACCGAGCAGGGCTCCTTAATGAGCAGAACATGAATGTAAAACACATCAAAATATATCCTCTGCACTATACCCAAAGGGGGCATCCCCCAGGGTAGTAGGGCCCAGCAAAGACTTTAGCCAGAGCATTATTTAGGCATCTTTGTAATGCCACTTCTAATAAATAGTGTTGGTCCTCACTACAAAATGTGAATTTACAATTGATTAAATAACCAGTCACCAGTTGAACTTAAAAGTCCTAGTATCAAGTGATTTCCAAGGTTGATTTTTTTTTTTTTAAATATATTGTATGCGCTGTACATTTAATGTTTAATTATCTTGGGGTGTTTTTTTTTTATTATAGACATTATAAAGCCGACTGGAAGAAATTCTTCCGAACATTGTTGAATGTACCAAGCTGCAATGAAATCCCATCCCTGAGTGAACTGTGCCTGGAAATGGAACAAGTCTTTCGTCAGCGATACTTACCCTTCGTAGGTCCACACGGAGTGTGAGGATTTTAACCAAATAATCGCCAGGAAATATTGTAGATTAATTTCAGAAGCACTGGTATTAAGATATCCATATTTTAATAGGTTACAATGTACGACAATGTATTCAAAGCATAGAATGTGGATGGTTATAAAACAGAAGACCTGTGTCAAGATTAACCACCTAGTCTTGGCTTTTGCGTACTAGCAATACTATTATTTTTTTTTTTAAGTCCTGTCCAAATTTTATTGGACAAAAACATGCGACATGTCTAAATATGGTCATGATGACATCACATCATGACTATATATGGGCATACAAGAGTTTGTTTGTTAAATAAAATTTGATAGTCTGGACAGATTGGGCAGATCTGCACCATGTTGCCGAGTGCTATTCTCTGTCTACAGTTTTTCAGAAATCTTGACTCAAATCCGGCTGGTGGGCTAGTTTACTCTTTTCTTGAGGTACTGTGCATTTGAATCATGTTAATAGATTACCATCTATGATTGCACATTTATCAATTCCAAAAGAAAATGAAAGTGTATTTTACTATTGATAAAACACTACATTGTATATAAAAAATATTTCTGTTTGTACAATTCAATATCTTGATTGGCTTAACACTGTTCTTTGATATTTTGATAGTGTACTGTGGAACTACAAATCGTAGTAATAACTTTTAATGTTTGGTGATAATGTTAATGTAGCATTTTACATTCATATAATTATACATTATTAATAAAAATTATTACATAATTTAACTATTGATTACAAGTGTATAAATTTGTTTATTTCTTCCAATAATACCAGTAGGTGTACCTGTATTGTACAATATCATTATTTACTTATACTTAAATTTTAAAAAATTACTCTGGGGCCATTTGTTTGCCCACCCCTGCACTAAGCCAACCCAGACTGCATATGATGTTTTTTTAGGCTTTTTCAGATCTTAAAGTTATTGAGAATTATGATGTGGAAGATACTGAACTCCATATTTACAGAGTATAAGTATGACGTTTTCGCATTTTCCAAAAGACATAAAATGCTGGGGCGGCCTCATGTTTGAGGGTGGATTAAAAAGCATTAACTTGTCAATATTTTGCTGACGTTTCACCACAAACTTATCCTACTTGGTCAGGAGTCTTGCAAACAAAAATTTAAGAACAAAGAGCAGTACAGTAGAACTTTTATTCCAAAATATTTGTCTAAACTGGCAATTCATGTACAGTAAATTCAAATAGTTTACTTATTGACTAGAAAGAAAAAAGCTCAGGAAGCTCAGATAATTGGCCTTTCTGCTAAGCCACACCCCTTGAATACTGTTGCTATGGTCCCAAAAAACGACAGTGTAAAAAAATATGCAAACATGCTTATTGTACAACACTTTTCTGATTGGTCAGTTGTTAAGTTCGGTCAACTCCAGAAAGGTATATTATGGTTGACAGTATGAATGTCAGCTCTCATAAATATCATTTGACTGCTTGGGACTGGCAGATGAATTCACACCACCTCTTGAGCATCACTTTTTCTTGCACGACTGGGCTAAGCATGTCTAAGATTTGTAATCTCAACAGCTACAATAATTTTTGGTGTGAATGAAACATTCTTTTAAACTTCTTACTGCCAGGAGTCCCAAGTTGGAAGAAATTACTTCCGGGAGATCCGGGAAATTAAGTAGTAAAAACATGCAGGTTGCTGGAGATGGGTTATTTTCTGTAAGTGCAGGAGGCTATCCTGATTTCCGGAAGATTCCTGAGACTTGTGGGACACAACGGGGCCCCTGCACTGCCAACTGTACGTCAGTTGTTCATAATATTCATTTTCTAGATAGCATGAGCTGTTCTTTCAACTCTTTTCTGCATTTCTTCTGTTTCAAGTTGCTCAAGAGTTAGTAAGGACAAGCCAAGTTGGTCCTCCTGTGGATCAAACATAAAAGATAATTGAGACTATCAACAACAGCAAGTCATCAACTTCCACTCGAAATTAAAAAAAACAAGAACGTATGGAAACCCCTTCTTTGATGACACAGTAAGGTCGATTAAAAAAAAAATTAATTTGCTGATCCTAATATTACCTACAAGCACAATTTTGGCCCGACCTAAAATATGAAATCTCTGACAACGCCCCCACCCCTCAGAGATTTTTTCCAGAACCCAGCCAAGGCTTAAGGTGACCTACCTGTTGGACCCACTTTTGACAAATATTGCCCCACTGGGCTTGGATAAAGTAGAAATAATTACCAATAGGACTTCTTTTTAAATATTTTACTGCTAAGCATTAATAGAAAGATTGTGTCTGAGCATGTTTCTCTGGCAGGGAAAGCATAACCATTTTTTTCACAGCATTGTTATGTAAATGTTTGGAATTCTACTGGATCTAATCTAGCATTTACCTTTGTGAATGGTTGAGCCATCTGTCTGAGGAATTTCTTTGACACCTGTATAGCTTCATCAGTTGTCAAGTTGCAAACACTATCGCTCAAATATTCTTGGATCCATTTGGGTAACTTTCCTCTTTTATCGCCACGCCCAAACCTCTGTCAATTAAACGATGTTCAAAATAGAAAAAAATAAAAACTTTTCTGTGCAATTACATGATTGTTGAGAAAATATCGCTTTACACGTTGGTTAGGCAAGAATTCTTTATACTTTACCTATTTTGTGAATACAATTTAACTTCTGGATTTAAAAAGAGGTAGATGACGGAGAGGGCGAGAAAAATGTTATATAATATTTTAAAATTTGGCCTGATAACTTACCTTGTCAGCAAACACCATTATTCCATAATCAGTTTTGCCCCTCATAGCTCTACCAACACACTGTGAATAAACAATGATACTAATATTCATAATAACATCCTATAACAAAAACCTTTAGGTATACCAGCCTAGATTATACATCAGGGATCCAACAAGTTTGAAATAAAGTCCAAACCAAGAGGCTGCCTATGACCTCCAGTTAGGGTCCAAGGCTATACTAAGAAAATGAATATCACAATAATTTTAGTTGGACTGGTAAAATGAATTTGTTCACATTTAATCATTTTTTTAAATGATTATATTGTTTTACTTAGCATGGATTTTCCTAAGCACTAAATCATATAGGGGTGTGTATATTTTGGGTCTATGAGAAACCACATACTTAGTCAATGAGTTATCAAATCCCTCACATGAGCACAAGGGAAGGGAAATATTGTGAAGCCCAGGGGAAATCCTCAAGTGTCTCACCTGAGCAGCATGTCTCATTGCATCAAATGTTAGAAAATCATTCTCGCGGATCTGGTACTGATCTCGCAAGAATTCCAGACGAGCTCGCAACATACGTGATTGAGTATAGACATACGGCACACCAAACATGACAACGGCTCTGCCATAATGATGATCTAAATAAATAATAATATATAATTAATTATACAGAACATTATTGTAATGAAAGGATAATTGAAAATAAGTTTAACAACAAAGCAAGTGCACTAATAAATTACTCAATACTCTGTGAAAATTTTATACACTAAGTTGTATAATGAGGCCAGGACTCCGGGATTGGAAAGCAAGCATCTTAACCAACTAGCTACAGATCCACTCCATCAACATTGCAGGATTTGAACCCAGAACCCTGGGATTGGAAGGCAAGCATCTTAACCACCAAGATACAGCTCCACTCCATCAACACTGCAGGATTTGAACCCAGGACACTGGGATTAGAAGGCAAGCATCTTAATCACCAAGGTACACTTCCACAGAAATATAATATACATTTAAAAAAAAATTGAGTTTAAAATTACAACCTACCAAAATCAATTCCTTCAGAAACCTTCCCACGAGCAACGGAAAGCAACACTGCACCACGTCCATTCTCACAAGCCTGTTGAAATTTTAGTAAGGAAATAAATCAAACACAATTAAAAATTGTCTGTTCAAACATTGTCTATAGAGTCTGACAAATACAAAATGTATAATGTATGCTCGGCTTGAGTTTTCAAACCATTAATTTTAAAATGTCAAAGGCATACTTTCTGATAGTTAATCAAGGCAACACTTGTTTCTGCTGTGTCTTGTGTTTCTATAAACAATAGCTTGTTCTTCTGGATGTTGTCAATTATACCCTGCTCATACCATTTTGAAACTATTGTCTCCTGAAAAGCATAAAACAAAATAACTACTTTAGTTCACAGGTTTTATAAAATTGCTTTAAAGCTTTATTGAGTAACAGTAAAACGTTTTAAAAATGACATTTCTTTTTATTTTTTTTTTTTTAAGACTTACCATATAAATATAACTGGTAAAGAAACAGACTATTCCATCAGGCACAATGGATGTCAGATCTACCAGTAAATTCCCATAATTTCTGATTACAGCTGCAAAAGACAATAACTGTATAATTTAATTCATTCTGGTATTAGAATATAACAAGCTGGTAGGCAAAAACTGAATGGCAAACGATTTAAATTGTATAAGATTTACTTTTCAAAACCAGTGTTATTTGCTTGTTGTCACTTGCGCTCTCTTCTCAACAGCTTTATCGGCATACCGACTGTGACTTGGTCACATGACCACTCCGAGTGGGACAATCATGTGAAAGCAGGTTGCTTAAATATCTGACAAGCACATTACACTGACTTTGAAAGTTAACTTCTGTTTATTATGCAATCAACACATTTTCGTGTCAATACACACGCTGCTAAATAAATAAATAAATATTAAATAAATAAATAAATTACTGCACATGGGTTAGCGAAATTATGAATTCAGGTAATGCAAGCTGTGTTTGTGGTTTTGGGGGTATAACTATTATAAATAGCTTACCAATATCTTGTCTTGTTTCAAATTTGGATGTCATGGTGACTTGGTCATTTCCTCTTCCAACAATCTACCACACAATTTAACAGAAACCATTTAAGTTAGAATACATAACTACTAAAATCCTACTATGTAAAGGCTTATGTTATGTATATATCTGTCAAGAATAGGAAGGCCTAGCCTAGGCCTAGACTCTTCGAGCCACAGTATATAAAGGCCTCTCAAACATGGTCGGTTAGATACTGTATTTCAGATATTATCTAAGGTATTTTATGTTATTTTTTTTGTTTACAATTTGATCTTTAAACTAACAAACAGAAATGATACACATTTATTGAACATCCTGCTATTTCATGTTCCCAGGAAAAGTACCTTCTTCTTATCAAAATTATACATAATCTGAATGAAATAAAATGATTACAATAATGATCAATATATTCCATTAAACTACAACTTACCAATGGGCAAATACAAGTTCTTGCTAAGGTCATTGTGAATGAGGCCATACTGACTGGACGAAAATCAAGAATCTTGGGATACATATCAAGAGGGGATAGCGTCTGTATAAAGATGAAATACAAATTATATAAATATAAATTAAATAAGAAATTTTGAGTTTGGGTTCATTAGTTGGGAATTGAATTTAATATTCTAGTTACAATAATATTACAAATTCCAAAGAATATACATTTCATTATGACAAAATTTGATTTGATAATAATTTACAATATTTGTACTTACACCTGAGGTTATTATAACAGATTGGAAACGATCAAAGACAGGCTTAATAGCAACGGAGGCGTCCATACACCTGAAACAGGTTGAATATCAATTGTGATCTGGTTACTGTATCATCATTCTCACCACCACGATCACCACTGATATCACCAACATCATCACCATCACCAGCACCATTACTATTACCACCATCATCACTGTTACCAACAACATGCACTATAACCACCACCATCATCAGCACTAAAACAACCACCACCATTATCATCATCACTATCACCAACAATATCATCACCACCACCACCACCAACATTATCACCACATTACCACCATAATCACCACCAACATTATCACCACATTACCTCCACCACCATCATCATCACCACCACCATCATCAAAATCATCATGACTATCATAACCACCCTCATCCTCATCATCCCTTTTCCATCACCATTACCCCACCATCATAATCTTCATCATCATTAAAGCAAGATTCAGTTTTCAAAAAGAGCGACTTACTTGAAGTGAAGAATGGGATTAGGGATTGTGGGGGCTTTGTCATCAAACGGTTCAATAATTAAGGTAAAACCTACAAAGATAAAGAAACATTAAAGTGAGCCGTGTAAGAATCATCTTGTCTTGAGCAGTTGCTTAGGGAATGCTGACCTTTGTTGAAGTATAAATCAGGACAGAATGATTTTAAATTCCTATAGATTTCAGTTAACAGCAGAAAAACAACTCAAGCCATACCTTTGCCATATGTACTGACTAACGTTGCAAAGTTTGCAATTAATCCTAGAGGGGAGAGATCCTGGTTACCATAAAATTCCAAGGTGCGTAAAAGGGAATGTAATCGCTCTGAACAGAATCTATAAATTATGGAAAAAAAAGATGAATGTAATCTTTGAATGCCATATTTGATAGGTCATTAATATTATCAATAATCGCCAGATTCAAAGATGACGAGATGTCACCGAAAGCTTCCAGAAACTAAACCATAACTCTGAAAGGTAACTTACTCTTTTTTTATTACTATGACAAAGTTACGGAAAAAATTTCCATGCAATTAATATTATTATTAATACTATTAATAACATTTTGATTAATTGATATGTAACAGGGTACATCTTCCTTAATTTCAACAGGATTCTCACCTCAGTGGTTTACGTTCTATGCAAACTTTTGTGTACACATCTTTCAAAAATGATGGTGGGCTTTCTTGAACAACGTGCTGAACACGTAATCGAGTCTTTAAATATTCTAAGAATCGCTTTAGGAAGTTCAAGAAATGTTCTGCGTTGCGAATATTTCCTGGAACCGCCTCTGCATCAAAAAAAGATAGTGGTAAATACAATTATTACAAGTATGGAATAGTCTCCACACCCCCCACCCAACCCCTATCCACATCAGGATGACACAGGATATTGGAAGCTTTACGAAAGAGCTGAAAACATCCTGTTTCAGAGCTGCATATATCCAATAAAACATTTGCAGAAGCACCATGAACGTCATATATGGTGGATACCAGCGTTATATAAATGTTCTATTCTATTCTAATTATACCTAAGATTACGAGCGCTTCAAGCTTAATATCGACATTTAACAGTCAATACAGCAACTTATTAATTTAATGCTTAAAATACATATTAATAAAGTTCAACTATTTTTTTTCCCCAGTAAACAATACCGGCAAATCTAGATTTGGGAAAACATTGCCCACCTAGGATAAGAATACTGTTGTAACCCACCTTGTAATATTTCATCCGGTAGTACTGGGTTTGCGAGTTGTGCATCAGTTTCGCGTTCTTCATTGGCAAGACGGAGACCTTCCACTAAACGTTGGTACTCCCTCTTCAGTTTATTTGCATCTGTTTCTTTAATCCTACAAGTAGAATTTTGAAATTATACCTGCAGTACAATATACATGGTGGATAGGTTGATTTCTTTATGTATTTGATTTACTGATTAGTTAGTTGAATTCGAGTTTGGTTGATGGAATGATTGACTGATTGATTAATTAACTGATTGATTAACTGTTTGATTGATTGATCGATTGATTGATTGATTGATTGATTGATTGATTGATTGACTGATTACTTGGTTGGGGGTAGATGATTGTTTGATCAGTTGAAAATTAACTTGAATAATAAATTGATTTGCAAGTAAATTGTTTGAATAACTAATTGATTGATTGATTGATTAATAGATAGACTAATTGATTGATTGACAGACTGACTACACTAACCTCTCAATAGAGCCTTTAAGGTAATCAATGTTGCTCTCACCACGATCTAGTGTCCTCCTCGTAATATTCACACTAAGTGAATCTATACAAACATTATCTATAAAATAAATGGTGTTAAAACTACCATTTCTCAGAGAAAGCATATTTTTAATATGTTTATCGATTTACTATATTTTTTTAAACTAAAGAATATAAATAAACAAATAAATTTAAGCCAATGACTCTAAAACTTAAAATAAAGAAACGTAACCACTTCTGGGCTGTTGTAAAATGAGACCAAAAAACTTATTTATGTAAACATACCTATGTTATGAGCCTCATCAAATACAACTACAGATGTTTTAGGCAATTCTTTTGAAACAAGTTCAGCTATTTTCGGATCTAGTAAATAATGGTAGCTGTACACCACAATGTTGGCATGCATAATCTGGAATAAGAATGGTTGAAACACAGGTGAATAGAATGCTAGGGGGACATGTTCGGTTCTAACCTGAATTCATCTTAAAATCTGCTGATGCGACGGTGGTAGGCGTTTCATAGAACCCACAGTTGATTGTCTATCTGTGACAATGACTTTTCCCACTTTTGTAAACTCCGGTTTTCTAAAAGTAATCTGTGATATGTTTATAGGGCAATATTAGCAAGTATTTATATTAATATTATTATGAATTATTATTAATGTAATAATGTTTTCATACTGTGTATCTTGCAAGGAAGTAAGGACACCATCCACGGTCACGGCCAATATCTTTCAAGTCATCTAGGTTGTAAACGCCAGCATCTATAGGAGCATCTCTGCCAATGCTGTCAAATAACTACAGAAAATGTAAATAATTATGAGGATAAAAATCTTGTAAAGTGTATTTTTATTTGGTTCTTATATAATTCGAAGAATAAGTTAATAAAAAACAATAGGAATGACAAGGTATGAGAAATAACATAAACACAGATGTCAGGAGATCAAAGGTAGATAAATTTGAAACATCCCAAATAATTCTAAACAAATAATTAGTTTCTATTGAGGTTCCAACAACTTTATTAATTCTAATTAACAACATTTTTATTGTAAATAAAATTTGTTTTGAATGGACTTGCAACATTTTATGAGCTGTCAGCTACAAAATTTGTATTACTTATTATTTTACATTGATACAATACTTTCAATACAAACAATAAAAGATTGTGTACATTCAGTCATTATTCCATATACTATCAGAAACCTGTATAAATATTTTTATCAGCAGTATATTGACCTCACCTCAAAAAATGAGCAGACAGAGACGGAATCATCATAGTGATTCCTAGTACGGATGTAAGATGCTGTTAGGCCTTGACAGGCACTGTCCACCAGCTTGCCTGTGGCCTCCTTACTAACCTACAGAAATTTAAAAATACAAACACGGTACAGTACTTTAAAAAAAACTTAACACTAATGTAACAAAAATGAAAAGCTAACAGGAATAGAGGGATGTCTTTTGGTATCTTTGGAGGAATTTGAGAGTTCATCTTAAGTAGGGACATAGGCTTAGCCAGCGAGCCATCCGGCCGTCTTCTGGATGACCTACAATTATTTACGAAAGCCACTTTTACCGAGACAGCTTGGACGGCTTGGCCTAATCAGCTCGGCCTAGCCTAATTGGGCCTAGTCTACCTTTAGCAAATTCTTTATATTCTTCAAATCTATTGAATGTTACATTAAATTAAAGCTAAATCATATTTACGTCTGATAAAAGCAACATTTATTGATTGAATGTTCCTTGTTTTCGTACCATTCGGTGGGGATTTTCCAAAGATGTGTGTGGCCCACCCATCAGCTCAGTGTCACGCCCACTGGCTTCCATTTGGACGGCCTATTTCGTTTTTCTGGCTAAACCCTTGAGTAGGGATATACTGAATAATGATGGATGGATTAGTGGAGATATTGAGAAGATTTAGTGAAGTAACCTGAGGATGGTAATTAGTTAAATATCTTGGAACGAGATTAAAGGGACACCTTAAAATGGATTAGAATATCTTGTGGTGGATTTATTAGGATATCTTTGGGTGGATTAGCAGGGAATATTTGACAGAATTTAGGGGGTTCATGTCTTGAGGAAGAATTAGGGAGATTTCTGGAAGAGGGAAAATGTAATTATCTTTGGGGAGAGTTTGGTTGGACAACTTGGGGTTGAATTAATTGGGCATCTAGAGAGGGATCAGTTGGGTATTTTGGGAAGGGTTTGATAGGATATTTCATATTTTGTTTACTATTTAATAAATTTATTTATGTAACTTACTCTTGGATGTATACAGAGATTCTTTCTTGAACTGAGTGCCAAGCCTAGAATTGTTGGTTTTTCTCCAATCTCTTGTTCATAATAATTCATTAATGTTTTCAACTCTTCCATAACCTGGAAAATAATTTAATTTAAAAAAAAAATTAAGTACAAGTTTTTAAGATCCACTATGTGAAACATAAGACTACAGAATATAAATTATTCATGACTACTGCAATCTATATTAATTATTGTTTGCTTTGATTTTTAATTTCTATACATTAATGACATTCTCTAGTACAAGTAAATTAATGATCAGTGAACATTTCAAGTTTTAATTAGGGTAACATTGATCAACATCATAACCAATTACAAGGTCGAGAACTCAGGATGATTATATTTTATATGGTATGTAAGAATGAATATAGGTTTAAAATAAACAAATTTGTGAGAATACAATTTCTTGAAAATGTTTTTGTTGTTAAATTCTTGAATCATACTTTTTCTATTTCAGGAACAGTTCTTGAACAATATATAAGTTTGGTAACTTCTGTTGGATGAGTTCTAAGATAGGCAACAATGAGTGACAGGAGGGATATGGTTTTCCCGGTTCCTGAAGGCATCTCCAGCACACAATGACCCTAAGTATATTAGGAAAAAAGAAAACTTGAACACATTGTAATCATCATAATTCATGCAAGAACCAGTGTATATTAATCATCCAACCACTACAGATAAAAATGATCCAGCTACTTAATTTTTATTTCTAATAAAATTGGAAATTAGTTATTACTTTAAAAATTAGGAGGAAGAAAGAAAAAAAGACTGCAGGTACTTTATCACAATAACAGTCATAGTGCCATATATTATTAATTTATATTAATATTTGGTATATAGGAAATACTCTTACCTTTGCATCAAGTGCCCGCTTTAGTTCGAGCATATAGGTGAATTGTTCAGGGTAGATGTAGTCAAAGGGAAAGTACACAAGCAATCCGTCAACGTTTAACCTACACCAAAAGAAATTAATTTCAATGAAATAAAAAATAATATTCTCTTCATTTCCAACATTTTAATAAACAAAATTGCAATAAACCCACCTTTTGAGTGTGTCAAGACCATTCATTTGGTATGGATTTATTTTATTTTTGACAATATTCTCTAGGCCTATAATATAATAGTATTTTTTATAGTTTGTTACTGTACTAGGCCCTACATGTTTTATTTTCTGATTTATTCAGCAAGTCTGTGTTGCCAGTGAAGCCCTAGCTAGTCTAGGTGGAGAGCGTATTTTGAATGCTAAATATTTGTTCAATTATTATTACTTACTTCATTTTGATAACACTTGTGCTCTATAGCAATACGTTAATACAACTGTTACAAAACAAAAACTACGTTTATTGTAAAAATTGCACAAACAACAATTTTGTGTTTGTTTGCATGCCTGAACTTCCTGAAGATACTTGCAATCAGAATGTGGAATTTCATGTAGCGCGCCTCTCTCGGCGACGAACGAATAGGGTAGAATGTAGTGGCTGGCGAGGCTGGAAAATTCGTTCAGTTCCGCTGCTGTATGATAACCTTGACGCTTCTCGACTGATGGGCTAGTAACAGCACATTCTCCGCAACATGTCGAAGAGAAAAAGAACCGCTGTTGTCGAAGACTCTGATAGCTCAGACAGTAACTCAGACCTCGATGCTGTACGTGCTCGTAATTTATACAATTCGACTCATTCAAGATATTATTATTATGTCGTATTATGATGGGAAATTCCCACATGATGACATTGATGTTTCTTTAGCTAGGCCCTAGGCCTAGGGCCTAGCCTAGCATGGACTTACAATATATCTGTTGGGTTAGGACTGTAGCATAATATATAGAGCTAAAGCCTAGGCCTAGCAGAAAGATCTTCATGGCATTTCCATTGTGACTAAACGAGGTATTTGCCCAATCAATTAGAGAGCCTAGGACCTATCTATTATAAGTAGTTTGTAATCTTTATTTCTATTGTTAATACAAAATCTAGACCTAGGCCTAGGCCTATTAGTGTTTTTTTATCAGTTATCTGATAAATATAAAGAATATATAAGTAGCCTAGGCTATCCCACCATTAAAGCAAAAAGTAGTAGTACTAGGCCTAGTAAAGGAGTGATAGAAAACTTTAGTGTTTATTTTTTTTTAAATTACAGTACCTTGACTTTAAATCTTTGTAAGTTGTAGTACACCAAGATTTTGTTCACAATACAAAATTCCATCCTGTATTTATCAAATTTAAATTTAAAGTATAACAAGTATCTTTTTGATCAATTTTGTTTTCTTACAGGGCTTGAGGACTTTAGTTAAAAAGAAGACAAAGAAAGAAACAGAATTGCAGAATTCATCTCAGAAAAGCGATTCTGATTCCGAGACATCTGAAAGTGACGACGATGTGAGTTGAATCTTCTGCCAGATATTCCATGTTAATGCCAGTTGTTATCTATTTTAATTCCATTAAAATAACAGTATTTCAGCTTGTTATCTTTAATTATTGATGTTTATTGTTGTTTTGTAAGTAGTCTTCTTGTTAATAATATTGTATTGTTTTTAGGTAGCCTTCTTGTATGTTGTACAGTATAACAGACTACAGCAATTTATCTTTGCAGGACCATATTGTAAAAAAATATTACAATCTCATCCATATATTATTTATCCTACCTAAATATGTTTAATAAACATATAGATATATTATCAACTTGTAAGCATACTGCAAAACTAAATTTCACTCATTTATGTTAATTAAAATCTTCCATTACTGTATTCAACTTTCTTTTCAGTGGACCATGAGTGGAAAGAAAAAGAAGAAAGTTAAGAAAAAGGTACCCAAGTCCAAGTCAAAGGTCACATCTGATGGCGGCTCAATCGAAAGCGATTCCGACAAATCATCACCAGAAGAAGGTAGTTACAAAATGTCAAATGCATTATGGGATCGAATACCAGATACATTGAGAGATTGATTGACAAGTAGTACCTTTTTATCTTGAATATCAAATGTATTATTACATTGGGGTTTGATTCGAAAAGCATTACACAATTGTTCCACTGATTGAATGTCTAATCCATTGTGGGATTGATTGAATTTATATAATACATTGTGTTGTTGGGTTACTTGAATTTCAAATGCATTGTGGGAATAAATTCCAAATGCATTATGGGATTTATTCATAAAGCAATGTGGGATTAAATAATAGGTACCGGTAACTTAATTCTGAAAATATATTTTGAATTCTTCCATTCTTGTTCTGTATTTTAATTTAATTTTGTTCCATCTGTGGCAAAGACAAGCCAAACCAGTTACCCGTCACAAAAATAAATTTTGAGTCATTAATACAGTGTTAAAAAATAAAATAATAGCTATGAAACGGTAAAAAAATTATTGAAATCCGACATTTCCTTATGAATTTACAAGCGTTTAAACATAAAGCTGTTTAAAGAACAATATATGGGAAATCAGCATTCAAATTTTATGATTTCAGGCATTTCTCATGCAGAAACTATCATCAAATCCTTAAAAAATGTTGTTTTAAAATTGGATATTGGGAAAATAACAGCATAGTATGATGTATAGATATATAAATGTTAGCTTAGTGCAATAAAATAGATTTTGAAAAATTTGACATTCAAGCATATTTAGGCCATTTTCTCTGAAACACGATTTGTGACGAGTGATTGGTTTGGCTTGTCTTTGCCACATATACTGATAATAATCATTATTGACAAGTTGTGTTTCTCTAATGTGGTATCTCATGTCATTTGTATTTGAAGACATCATAATATGTTTTTTAATGTTGATTTTTTAATTCCAATCTCTTTTATTTTAAAGCTGATCCATCTTTCTGTTAGCTAATGCAGAACCTTAGCCAGTGTTGTGCTACATCACAGATTACAAAGTGTTAGCAGCACTTACGAAAGCCTTGTCAAGTCTATCAGATTTTATTTGACTAGAACTTGTGTCATGCCTAAATATAGTCATGATGACATCACATCATGACCATATATAGACACATCATGTCTATATATGGGCATGCAAGAGTTTGATAGTATGGACAGAGCTTTATAAAACTCAGCTGCTAGATTAATATTCTCGTGCAATCCTGGTACACACTCTGCTCCGATCATAAGGGAGCTTCACTGGTTGCCTGTTGCCAGTAGAGTTGTTTTTAAAATCATTCTTACTGTCTACAAAGGTATAAATGGCTATTCCCCTTCCTATTTGTCCTTACTCCTTACTCGTCGTGTTCCAACTCGGACTACTTGATACCCCTCTTCACTTCACTAAATTGTACCACATTGTAACAAGAGGATTGGTAGTTTTTCTTATTCAGTTTATGCTGCCCAACTCTTGAATAATCTTCCTAATATTTTCAAAAGATCACTTAAAACGTAACTTTTTGTATCCAATTCACACCAGGGGGAGTTTTTATGGTTCAGGAGAACCCCCCTTTCCTAGCAAACCCCCATATTTTCTGGCGAAACCCCCTCTTTAAATTTCCCAAATAAGTCTTCCAACCCAACTAATGCACCCAGACACAGACATTTTCAAACATATCTGCTTTTATAGCATTATTTAGACCCATAAAGCACAAAAATCCTCTTGCTTTGGGGGTTTCACCAACCCCACCGGGACTTCGACTGTGGACCTCGCGCCCAGAAAACCTCGTGCCCAGAAAACCCCCCTTGGAAGAACCTGGCTACGAGCCTGGATCTGTTGTTCAAGTTAATTGAAATTTGGGAGAGAAACTTGACTTGCACTTTGCAACCTAAAGGAAAGGTGCATTATAAATGCCCGGTAACAGTAACAAAGATATTAATCAATTATATTTTCAGGAGAAGTGTCTGATTCCAGTGACAATGTCTCCAGTAATATATCAAGCTCCGATGACGACGAGCAGTTTAATGACGGCTACGATGATAACTTTATCGGGGATGAGTCGGACAAGGCCAGGCTTGACAAGATGACGGAGATGGAGAGAGAACAGGAAATATTTAACAGAGCAGAGAAGCGTGAAGCTCTAATGACAAGGTTAACGTCAATCAAATTCTTAAAGTTTAAAATTTGATATAGAAATGAGTCTGTATCATAGCATGTTTTGTTCTGTTTCTTTTGTAGTTAAGAATGCTATTTTTGATGTTTGTTATTCTGAATTGCTTAATCAAGCTCTGGAGGGAAAAAAATGTTTTGCTATGTTGTACAAATGAATTTTCTAAGAAAATGAAAGGTTGTTTGAAAACGGAAAATGATACAGTCTGACGATTGAAAAGGGGTGTAACACCTGGATTTTGGCTTTAAGTTATTTTTCTTTTGCAGTATTCATTCTAAAGAACAGTTGAAAAGTGTGTTCTCAAATAAATACCAAATATGCCAATGTACTATATCATTTTTGTACCTTCTCCAAAACACTCTACAATTAAATACATAATTAATTTATTTTATTTTATAGAAACCAATATATCTTTCCTTTTAGGAATTAATTTGCTGCATTTGTGTTGTTTTGTTGACAGGTTTGAAATTGAGAGAAAGTTGAAACATGCTAAGAAAGAGAAGAAGCGGCAAAAGAAAGAGGATATTACCAAAAGGTTGCTCCAGTCACAGAGTGATAGAAGTAAAGAGAGAAGGAGAACAGTAGAAGAAAAGAAAGACAAAAAGGCAATAGCTATCAAGAGTTTAAGAGATGCAAGAGAAAAAAAGAAGAAAAAAAGTAAGTTATGTAAAAGGTAAAAGTAGGAGAATAACCCATAACTTGCAGCGTCATTGTGCTGAATTGCGTATGTGCGTGGTCCGTGACAACCTAGCAGCCGTAAAGATTCACTTCATGGTAGCTACATGTTCACATCATTCCACAACGACAGGGGCTAAAATGGACCATAGCATCGGGGTAACCCTTACTCTTCTGAAATATGCAATGGGTTCTTTAAAGTGCACATGAGCCAGATGTATACATTGGACCTCCATTTTAAGCCTTATCCAAGAAGACTTGGTTCTACCAACCGAACCGTGTGCGAGGAGCGGCTGGAACCAGTGCCAATGTTAAGGCTGTAGCTAGCGGCGACCCTGCCTTACCGCTCAGCCACTCGACTCGCCCATCACTTGTGGAAGGTCCGTATTGTTATCTCGCTCTTCTCATTTCAGCCGAGGCTCTACTTGCCAAGAAAGAACCTCTGAAAGCAAGTGAAGTTTATTCAGATGATGATGAGGATGACGATGATGACGATAAAGGTGAAGAGGAGGAGGAAGAAGAAGATAAAGACAGCAATAAAAGCTCCTCCCCTTCCAGTGATGAACAGGACGTTGTTTCCTCATCAGATGTTGAAGAGTAAGCATTTACACTCAGTCTTGACAACTTGTAACAATTCTAATGACAGAATATAAGTACTGTAGGTACTATGCACTGTAACTACTACACGCTGGAGTGTCATTGGTATTTCAGGGGTGAGGGGGTGCATGCCCCTCCCCCCATAAAAAGGCTTATTATTTCATTTTAAATTTTCTAAATTATATTTTCTGCAGTGTCAAAGCCAATTATTATTTTGTTATTATTATTATTATTATAATTATTATTAGTTCCTTTGTGATCACAGGTCACAGAGGAACTATTAGTCACAGAAGAACTATTGGGATGATACAGATGTGAAATGTGTGTGTATGTATGGCAACAACCTGTCTGTATGTCTGTAAACAAATAGGCTCCTAAACGGTACTGGTGGACATGTAATTGTGTGAGAAATGTTTGTTTTTTCGGTTAGATAGAAAATGTAAGCTGTACGCGATAAAACATATACCCCTACCACCAGTTTTGAGTCGTTTTTTAGTCCAAATTTTGATTTGCGCATGGGTCAGGAAAAAGTTTGCCGACAATTTGTTTTTATCGCGAAAACGTTAGTAGTAGACATTACATAGAACACTAGGCCTAATACTTCCATGTTCAAACTAAAATAGTTTTTCAAATCACTATGTATTCCCAATCGTATGTGCTATTCAAATATGAGTATGAATTAAATGTAATAGCCTACGAAATTAGGACAAAAACCCATACAAGTTGGCAGTTCTTTCTTTTTGTTTGTTTAGCGTCACCACCCGACCCTGATTTTTGGCCCGCTTCTGATTTTTCATATGCCAAAAAAAAAAAAAACACGTCGAATACGACCCGCAAATGCCGAAAAAATGACCGAGAAAAAGATCATTTTCATATTTTTAAAAATTTTTCCACTCATAAAGCGCCACCAACGTTATATTGCCAGGTAAAAGCATCTGCTGCGACACAGTCGGCAAAAATGCTGTTTTTCTACTTCAAATCGGTAGCAAAGGTCTACAGAAGTTAATAAGAGATAGGATGGACGGGAGTCTTTCCGTATGAAAGTGCATATTGAGCAAAATGTTTCGTTATCTGACGTTTTGAAGCGTTTTTCAAACAGGCAAATCCAGGCCTATGAGGCCTAGGCTAGCCTTGGGCTACATGACGAGGCCCAGCAGGAAACGTGTTCGGCGGCAGTTGGTGTAGGCTTAGGCCTAGGCAGGATCGTTTAGGCCTCCCCGAAACAAATTTGACCGCGATGTAGGCCTATGGGACACTTTGTATTTATTGTATGTTCTCAGTCAATACGCCTTTTTCACGAATCGGTAGACATCTTGAAGTGATGACAAACATTGCGAATCAGCGGTGCGTAACCAACAGAAATAAGATAAGCTTTTGGGCGGATTTTTTGACATCAAACCTGTCTCTTATACACATCTAAACATGATTTACTATACTATACCTCTTTATAAAACATAACTTGTACTTTGTAATAAGAGAAATATGTATATTATCGCTACTTGGAACAGTAACAACTCGAAAGTCCCATGCTACTGCTCTGTAATGCATTGGCCTATTTTAATACACTACTAAGATAGGCTTTTCTTTTTCAATCTTGATTTCAGAGGTCAAAAAAATTTTTCAATTTTTTTTCAATCATATAGTGGTGTAGACTGGTCTTTTAAG